GGAAATTCATGCAGTCATCAGTCATGTGATACAGCTGTCATGTCTTTTGTTAAAGTGGGTGTCACAGTCATGCATGTTCATTGTGTAACTGTAACACTTCCCACTGTGTCAGTATTCAAGGGAACAGGGCTTTTTAGAATATCACAACAATCTGCCCAGACTTTATTCATTTCTGTGAATGTCAGGATGTAATTCAAGATACACCAGTGCTCATAGACTAACTAATGTTTAAAAATAAGGACTACTGGAGTTGTTATGGAAACTTAAACCAAAAGTTGATTATTATTTCTTGGTTTCAGCTTGCCAAATGTGAGGATTTGAAAACTGGATTTCTTGGGGTTTCAAGTGTTTGACATTGATTTGAAGATGTCAGCTTTAGGAAATTTTAATGGCCGTTTTCTAATTTTATAAAGTTAATGGATAAAAAAAAATAAGCAGTGCTTTTACTGAAACTGTAAATAAATAAATAAAATATTTGCAGTCATATATCCAATAACATTTATTCTTTGGCAGTAACATTAATTCAGTCTATTTAGAAGTGCATTTGAACTGGACTAGTAAATTGAGTAGGCTGAGAACACAAACAACATCTTGTGTCCCATGTGTTTTGGTCAAAGTTTGACCTGAAATGTCTGTTTAAGAAATAGCAATACACTCACTGCCACTTTATCAGGTACACCCGTGAAACCTAATGCAATCCAATACAACGGCTCTGCCATAAATTCTGCTTTTATGACGCTTCTGCAATTTCAGTTTCTGTTGACGTCAAAAAGGTGATAATTCTCCTTTGTGTTTTTTATTGAGGTCATTGTGGATGGTGGCAGTGCTGCACTGGACTATATCGCAATGAAAAGTGCTCCTAATATGTTGCCCACCTCATGTATGTTAATTTTGTGGACAAAAAGTCGAATTTAAGGCACCGTAGTTGAGTTGAGTTGCATTTCACAGGTGTTCCTAAAAAAAAAAAGTTGCTAGTGAGTGTATATTTTGAATTTCTACGAATTTATATTGACCTCAAAAATCTAGTGACAGCTAGACTTCATGTTACATCTGTTGTTTTCTATTGAGACATTAGCCATTTTGTTCATTGGGGGCACACTGTTGGCACAAAGAAATGCTGTGGGGTATCATAAAGTCCTGCCATAGATCATTTAAAGGGTAAAAACACCAAAAAAAATATAAAAATAATCTGGTTTCCCTTTTTTGATTTTGTGCAGTAACAGCTGTGTCCAAACAGCCAAACCAGAAAACACAAAATGTCAAATATCTTAATGATACTACCTACTAGTCAGATAGTAGTCCTGTTGTTTTTTTAAAAAATAGGTTAAAGAAAAACAAGCTACTACTATTAATTTTGTGTAAAATTGTATTTTGGAAGTGCAGGGTTTCCTGTGGTGCAAATTCTGTGACCAATGTCTGTTGTTTTGTCTCCGCCCTAAAAATCAGGTCAACTTCAACAAGCTTGTTCAGCAAAATCTAATAAACATCATAACAGCATCATAAGAGACAGTGTGAGACAGTTTAAATGGCAAATCAATAACGTGTTGACATGTTTATTAATAAGAAATAACCATTAGCTACATCTCTGTCAGAATTCATTAAATTAATAGCTGTACACATACTCTGACACATTCTGAGGTTTTGCTTGGGGCCATTTTACTGCCAATAAATAACAAGTCCAAGCCATACTTGCCACCATCAGGCATGTGCTGTTGTGTCGATTTCTGCTGGTCTTATCAGTGCATTTTCTGTATGATGGACACAAAAAAGTCCCACCAATAACTGTGAAAAATCACCGTCAGCAGCAGCAATGTTGAGGCTGTGACATAGTAGTAAATCTGTACTGCCAGTAGTACTAAAAGTAGTGCAGAACTCAGCTTTCTGAGTTTGAAATCAATGGAAGCTAAAAGAGGCATATGTTGGGACTATAACGTGGCAGCACTTTTTTGTTAAAAGCAGTGGGAGATACATTTGATGCTTTGATTCTCTGTTATCGAGACCATTTTCCAGCTGCATGCATCCCCGTGGATGTGGGGCTCGGGGAAAGGAACTTGAGGAGGGAATGTCTGGAAAACCCCAGTCATTTTCTGTGGGCTGTTAGGAATGACCTGGACCTGCCAAGAGAGGAGGGGAAACACCGCTGGAATTGTTGAAGAAAGGCAGAAGAAGGGAAAGAGAATGATTTAAGGGAAGAGTGGAAGGAGAGAGATGGTAATGAGGGACAGACTGAGGGGGTGAAAGACTTGGATGACTGATTAAGGGGGAAAAGAACAAACAAAAGGAAGGAGAGAGTGAAAATAGGTTAGAGGGGAGTTAAATGAGGAAAAAAGCAGAGAGGGAACTTGGGGGCCTCAACCACTGTGCGTCTGGAAGTGATCACAGTGGAGCTGAATGGGGATCGGGGCTGAACACACACACACACACACACACACACACACACACACACACGCACACACACATGCATTCACAAAAGCAAAAGAATGCACCCAGTGCACAAAAGACACATCTCTAACAGATGTTGGCCATATGCAAACATACTGCAGGCTGCACCCATTTAAGACACAGCCTGTCTGAAACACAGATACATGGGAAACCGCGTATATGATGTTGAAATGTGGCAGTGCTCTAATCAGTGTGAGGATCAGGTAACCAGTCTCTGCCTGTGTCGTTTTCCTCTGCAGTGGTTCGACCACAATCATCCGCTGTAAAGTCCCATCAAATCTCTTTTTACCCGCTTGTGCCAACCTCGAGTCTTCCAGGGACGGTCTGAAACAGCTAATCCCAGTGATTAAGATGGCTGTGCCATCTGGGCAGCACAGCTTGGCTCAAGAGAGGAAATGGCCAAGAAGCACATGAATCAAACCAACACATATGCTGCACTGAGGGGTCAGCTTAATTAGATTGACTTTGCTTTAAAAGTGTACATTGCTGGATTTGTATGGGTTGCAGGTTCATTACAGATTAAATATAGCAAGGTTTAACAGGGAAATAAAGGTAGTAGTTTTTGTTTTTTTTTAATTGGCGGGAGTGGCTTTACATGCACAGAAATCTGAGAGCATATTTAAATGCAGTGTGGTAATCTGGTTACTGTAAATTTTGTATTGTTTTCAACCAAGATAACTTACTTTTCTGAGAGAGCCTTGTACACAGTCAAATCGAGCCAGAACACTTTTTTTTTTATTTTTTTTTACAGTGTGAATGTGAATTTTACTGTTTACTGCTCAGCTGTGGAAATAACCTTATTCAGACTACTAGAAGCTTCATTTATATTTTAGTGTTAGTTTCAGTCTTAGTAATTTTAGTGTTTTTAACACAAAGGCATATTCCTACAAGATATTGTTTTTTCTTTCATGCTGGACACTGCTGTCACACCAATACCTTTTCTATCTCAGTGCCTCATGCATATGCCTTTTTAAAACTAAATGTAAATTGGTGATAGTAACCTGATTACGTAAATGTAAATTCTGTATGAAACAACTACAACTATATTCTGGTTCCCTGTGTATAATAGCATAAAGGGATTTACTCATGGTAAGGTCTATACCTTACTTTGTTAAGCGCTGTGTGATAACGTGTTGTAAACTGTGCTATACAAATAAAATTGAATTGAATAGTAGCACTTCTCTCTGTAATAGTACGTTTCCTTATTACTATAGAGACCTGGGGACACTCTGCTGCTCAGAGTTTTAATATGATAATATAGTAAAAAGTATGTTAAAACTCTTCTTTAATGACTGTCTGTGGTTTCTCCTGCTTTGAAAAAGCCAGAGAGATTTGTGGTCAATGTATTTAGTATTCACTATACCACACTAGGGGAGCAACCACATGATTCCTCAGAAAGAAGTTCAAGCATTTCTAACAAATGACCGTAAAATAACCTTGCAGAATCATCAAGTCATCTGGAAGATTTCCCTCATGTCTGTGCTGAGTAATAATGAAACATTAAAAGTTCATTTTTCTAAATATAAATGTACCACAGAAATACCTTTATAACCAATGCAGCTGCTCACATAGCTACTGCATCGCCTGCTCCTGCCGTATCAGTAAGGATAAAGCCAGTCATTAGTAAGTTTAGCAGTCAGCCTAACAGCATCAAAAGCCTCAGATTGACAGTGTGGCTCAGTTTAAGTTTCCTCCAGAGAGGCAGTGTTTGTTTGGTGTTCTCTGCTATAAACTTCTCTTTGTTTTCTTCTTTCCCTCATATTCTCATTGGCAAATAGCCTTGTCTGCTGCTACTCAACCCTCCTGTCTCATTTTTTTCTCTGGTCTCAATCTTTCTTTCTTACCCCCTTTTTCCCTTTTGTCTACTTTTCTCCTTTTGCTTTGTCTGAGTCACACAGTGTTTCATTGTTCCAGAGTTAGCTACATTACTGATGTCTGCATTGAATGATCTCATCCCAGCTCAGCATGTCTGGGATAAAAATCACTGGAGTATGTACTGTGTGTGTGTGCTGTGTGTGTGTGCTGTTTTGAGTCTGTGTCAGGGGAACATGATTTCAGTGTAAAGTCAGTTTGACTTCAAAGTGTGTTTGTCTAGATATTTTGTCTGTGTTTGTATGAGTGAACATTTAGATTAGATAGAGCTTTAATATGTTTCTGCATGTTAAACTTTGCAATTAGGGATTGTGAGATATGCAAGCAAACATCACACTTGAGTGTGAAATCGGGGGCAGGTCCTTTCTTCACTTTTTCACACCAACACACTTCCAGAGTAAACCCCACCCTTCTGAGGAGGTTTTCTTTTCTTGCAGAGCAAGCACAGCCAGTTCAGAGATAATTCCACCCACGCAGAAGACAGAGTGTGGGCGCTAACCTGACTGTGTCATGATGTGAAGTGTATATGTTAATGAGACAGGCCAGTCTGTGTCTCCATGTGGCCAAAAGTGCATGCTCATGCTGCTGCCTCTTGGTCCTCATGTCCTGTGTGAGCTCCTGTGAATGTCCGTCATCAGTGTGATGAGGAAAAATCCTAATCCATGTCTCTCTGTCTCTCTTTACAGTCTGCTGCAGTCTCTGATGGAGGTGAGTAAATATGCCTTTACAGCATTTAACATTGTGAACATCTGTTTTAGTAATCTTTTCTCATCATCTTGTAACCCTCTAAGTGTTAACCTGTTATGATCAACTTCATTTCGCATTAAAAGGAATGAAATACTGTATATTGAATATAGTTTTGAAAGATTTTACAGTGTAGGATCATGGTCATGTTCATGGCAGATACCTATACCCAAGGTAGATTAAAATCATTTACTGACTTTGAAAACAACAGAAAGTCTGGTTTGACCTGATTCGCTTCTGCCCCACCTCTGCATGCTGTTGGCAGGCTGCAGCTTAAAGATAGTCCCAGATTCTGAAGCATGTTTACCACACATTAACTGACACTTCATGGACAGGACACAGTATGAGAGAATGAACACAGTGTTTGCCGTGAAAGATAAAATTCTGACAGATTGGGGGTTTTTTTCTGTTTTTGATGCTACCATCTTACAAGTGTATATGTGATACAGGGATTCTGATTAGATATGTTGCTATCTGAAAGTTGTATATAATGTCCAAAAACAACAGTGTTTATTGCTGCACAAGCTGGAATAAAAGCACAAACTTTTAGACAGATTCTTCTCCAAGATATTCAAAGGGGAAAACATTTAAGTGACAGAACTATAGTTGGATAGTTTCTAAATGGAAGTTAAATGTTAAGAAACTCATCATATCTAAAACCCTGGAAAAACCCTGTGAAGTTGACTTGACTGTCATTTCAGACACTTGACTTATCCCTCCTAGTTTCAAGTGTTGGAAAGGGGAGCAAGATTACACCATGTGAGACACTGTTTGATAGTTCATTTGCTGTCACTGTTTTACAACACTTTGCGTGTTTCGCCTCTGGTATCTTGGCACTGGATGTAAAAGGTTCAGGCGCTGTTTTGTCATACTGTATTGGGTCTAATCTGAGGTAAACTGTTGTGACTTGTAGACAATTAGCATGTGCCAACAAAAACAAAAGGTCCTCTATTGGTGCTATAACACCTCACCAATGTACATGAAAGACTAAATGTATGGCAGATGGGAGATAAAAAGGAGAAAGAGGAGGTGAGAAACAAGACAAAAGAGGTATAGAATTTCGTCCAGACATGTTTACATCAAAAACAACAACACGGCAGTTTCAATATAGAAGCATCCATAGCTGTTTATTACGCCATGTGTCTCCCAAAGTGAGAATGAGTTGTTTTTAAGTCAAGCAAAAGCATTCTCTCCTTGTATATTTGTGTGCATGTGATGTGAGGAGCTTGATGACTTTGGGACTGACGTTTTATGGTTCCTGCGAGTTTTTTCAACTGGAAAGTTGGAATTTAGATCAAGTTAGTGCATGCACACACAGCAAGCAACTCCCTCGATTGGTCAATCTTTACTGCCAATTTAAACCCCTTTTCATCTTTCTTATTTCAGCAAAAACACTGTCATTCTATAAACTATATAGACTCTTTTTAAAAATATATTTTTTTACATCATTCAGTGACAACATGGCGAGTAAACATTAAAGGACAAGGAAAAGAACGTGGTAGTTTGATAGTTTATTCACGCAGCAGGTAAAAGTTGAGAAACTCATTGACACAGTGAAGGCCAAAAAAATGAATGTTATCTTAGTCGCTAAAGGAATCCTGCACAGCTAAGCTAACAAGTAAACTAACAAATCTGTGAGAACATCTGAACAGTGAGAGACACAGGTCAAACACAACATAAAGTGAGATTGTTCAGGTTTTAGTTAAAATAATACAAGATGGAAAAGATCAACGCGAGTGTGAGAGCTTTGAGAACAATGGAAAGTTGTGATGACTGTGTGGCGGTGGCTTGTGCGTCTTTAAATTTCCATGCAACACTTATTCCATATAATTAATCATCAAATTTAACTAAAGCTTGCCATGACATTTTTAAAAATAATTTAATCCTATAGTCTATGAAAAAAACAGTTCTCGATACATCATTATTTTTTAAGAAGCTGGGCTATATCTAGACATTATACATCTTGATTTTTGCTACTGAAATCCTGAAAAATACTGCATTAAGAACACTTTAGCCACTTGTATAATGTAGGACTCTACTTCCAAATTGTTCCGCTCTTATTAATATTGCATTCTTACAGTTTTCTGACTGAAATATTGATTTAAAAAGCAGTTAAAAAAAAAAAAAAGTAAAAATCTATCCGTACACCAGAATTTCTTGAGCTCAGACAACTTACTTGCTTTTTGAAGTACAACCTCACTAACTTCACAATAAAACTCTCCAAAATGACTACTAATTACTGTGCGGCTTGATTTGAGCCTTCTAAAATGGCTGTTTTTGACTCAAGTTTTGCCATTTTATTAATAGAAACTGCTGAAATCTTTTTTCCCAATGTGGCAGCAATGATAATACAACTATGCACAGCACATTCATTATTGGAGTTACTTGCATTTATTTTGTGTCATAGTTAAGTTGAAAAAAGCCTTAAAAAATAGGGGTAGGACAAAATGTCAATATGGCAAAACGTTGTATTACTTCCTTTGGACACATTAGTGACAAAATGGCAACAAATGTCAATATTTTTAGGCATTTTAAATGGACTCCCCTGCCAATTTGACTGACCAGAGTCAATACTTAATGACTCCTCGTAGTGGCACTTATCAAATAAATGAGGGTAACGTCAACAGAAGTTAACTAACCTGCAGTGAAAAAGAAGAAACTCACAGGAGAAATGGCAGAAAGTGCAGACAGCAGGAGAAAGCCAGTTAGAGAATGGATTTATTGAACCGACACATTATTAAACTTGGATAATAATGACGATCTCCACACATACTGACACCATAATGCAATGATTTGCTTTTTTATGGGTATTTTTCTTCTTCACATTTACCACGTGTCGCAAAATTGCGATCATAATACCGTCATCATCATGAGCAATGTGTTGTGATAGTATAGTGAGTAACTCTGTGATTCCCACCCCTGCTTAAGCAAACCAATTAAACCAGTCATTACATTTTTACAAGATGAATGTATTGATGATTTAGAGTAGAGAGAAGTGTATGTGTGTTTTAATGAAAAAAATAATAATTAAACCGATACATAAAATAGTTCTCCGGCTTCCTCCCACAAGTCCAAAAACATGTTGAGGTCAATTGGTGATTCTAAATTGTCTGTAGGTGTGAATGTGAGTGTGCTTGGTTGTCTGTCTCTAAGTATGGCCCTGTGATAGACTGGCGACCTGTCCAGGGTCTCCCCTGCCTTCACCCTAAGTCAGCTGGGATGGGCTCCAGTTCCCCACGACCCTAGTGAGGATTAAGCGATGCATAGATAATGGATGGATGATATTGGTCGTATCTGCATGTTTTTTGTGTTGTCCCTTATTGTGAACCAACATCACAATTTTTTATTTGCTTTGATGAAAAGTCAAAACAAGAACAGGTTGACATGCTGTATAATCTTTCTGATTCTGTGTGCGTGCGCGTGCATGTGTGTGTGTCTGTATGGGGGCTGCAGGCCTCATTAGTCTCAGTAGTGGCCTTCCTTTAACAAGCTCCTCATCAATACTGCAGTCTTTGTGTGAGTTCGTGAATATGTATATGCGTGTGTGTGTGTGTGTGTGTGTGTGTGTGTTTGTGTGTGTGCTGCAGCGTTTTTAGTTCCGTCCTCCCTCGGCTCTGAATTATTCATCATCTCGAGGCCTGTGCGTGCTTGTATCACTTACAGAGCTGGAAGCCCACAGAGATGTGTAGGTGCACATGCAGGTGCGCGTCCACGCTGCGACCTGACTCTCTCTGTGGTTTCTCAGGTTGTCATCCAGGTTGCTCACCACCAGTAGCAGCAGCCTCTTTCCCCCTTCCTTATACCCTCCTTCTTCTACCTTTTCCATTTTCCCTCCGTGTCTCCCTTCCTGCCTGTGATGTCAGCTGTGTGCCCTTTCTTGGACCACATGTCCAGCCTTTTGTGTTTGAGTCTTTGAGAGCCCCTGATAGGGTGAGTATGGATGGAGGGGCCTGGTTACCACTTAGGATTCGCTACCTGCCCAGGTGGCACCACACAGGCTCCTACCAGCTCTACCCAGGTGAGGAGACAGCTGGAGCTTTGAATGTTTGTTTCCCTGGCAGAAGAAAGTTTTGGACTTAAAGGCACGGTGGAGCAATAAGGCCGGTGTGTTGACAGCAGAAGGCTTTGACGTTGAATATCTGGTTTGCCTTAATTTAGTGACTGAAACTTAAGATGAATCCCTGACCACAACATGTGGAGGGCTTATTGAATATATAGTTTTCTAACTTCAGCCTGATAGGTGAGGAAAAGATGAGCTTCATCTGTCTGTACAAACGTGGTAAAGGCAGCTGTTAATGTGATGCTAGTCTCAGTGGTGTGATGATTAAGTATTGTGGTTTGCTTTTTCCAGTTGACTATACGTTTGCTGTGCTGTTACTCACTTCTACCTTCATTCCAAGAGAAAATTGAATAAGAGTTTGGCTTTTTTTTTTAAAATATTGACTTAGAAATTAGGCAGTAAACTGGACAGAATTGGACAGAATGGTAAGAAATTTATGATAGGAAAAGTAATTATTTTCCTTTCTAATATACTCCTTTGGTCTGCTATAATACAAGTCAAACTTTGCTCATTCTCTGCTGAGCATTTTCCCTTTAAAACATCTGTCTAAATCGCTGATTTTGTTTTGGTTGCCAAATGTAGATTTCAAAATGTGCTAAATGACTCAGTAATCTTTCTTAAAGTTTGGGAAAACAAACTTAGGTGATTATTATTTATTAAGTGCTAGACACTGAAAAAGTCAGGTAATCTGTTTCAGGGCTGGTTGGGTGTGGTTTGATTACATATGATCGGAATGTCGAAAACAATCTCGCTACTGACATCACATTTAAATATTTCTAAATCCTTTTTAGTTCACAGAAGTATGTCTCATCACTTTATTCCAGTCGAGTCCTGCCTACTTTAAAATTGTGCAAAGGAAGACACACAAAAACACCAATTCAGCTTGACGTTTAATTTTAACAGG